TCTTTCTCTCCCTCCCTCTCTCTCTCTCTCTCTCTCTCTCTCTCTCTCTCTCTCTCTCTTTCTCTCTCTCCCTCTCTCTCTCTCTCTCTCTCTCTCTCTCTCTCTCTCTCTCTCTTTCTTTCTCTCTCTCTCTCTCTCTCTCTCTCTCTCTCTCTCTCTATCTCTCTCGCGTTCTCTCTCTTTCTCCCCCTCCCCCTGCCTCTCTGCCTCTCTGCCAGCTGGTGATGCGGGTTTTCGACGCAGCAGCAGCAGCAGCAGCGAGGCACCGTCCTGCATGAGCGACAGCGACAACTACAGCGTAGCTGCATCCAGGCGCACTGATGCCAGCATTGCCCCCGTAGACCCGTAGATGGAGAATGCGCGGCCCTGCGCCATGCACGGTGTTCGCTTACAGACGCGAGGGAGAAGGACGGATGACCTGACTGCGGATGCTGCTCTCCTTCTATCCCTCGCCGCCGCACAGAGAAAGCGTTTTTCAGTGGGAGCCGGTGCGAGAGAGAGAGAGAGAGAGAGAGAGAGAGAGAGAGAGAGAGAGAAAGAGAGAGAGAGAGAGAGAGAGAGAGAGAGAGAGAGAGAGAGAGGGAGAGAAAGAAAGAGAGAGAGCGAAAGAGAAAGATAGAGCGAGAGAAAGAAAGAGAGAGAGAGAGAGCGCGAGCGAGAGAAAGAGAGAGAGAGAGAGCGCGAGAGAGAGTAGAGAGGAGGGGGGGGGGATGCGTCAATGTCGCTGTCAAGCGGCCTTTATCTTACACGATCAGTTGATGATTTATTGAGAGGAATGGATTTATTACTGGCTGCTAAACAGCTATTGGTCTCTATGTGTCCTCATATATCAACACCATCACAACTACTAACATTACGTCATCGTCAGCCAATCAGCGACCGTTAGATGGGGTTAGCGTCGCGCATGCGCCGTACCGCTCAGGTAGTCAGTCACCTGATCTGAATTCTATGTCAGGTGAGTTTTGGATTCATTATTTGGCTGTTATCAAACATTTTATCTCGTGTGTCAATGTGACTATATAATATCAGGAGTGAATCATAGAGATCTCTCTATTATTCACTCCGGATAACATCAAAGCCGATTGGATCATAATCCGATATACGAGGTCCAGATAAAGAATGCACGATATACGAAGAACTGTACTTAGTGAATGGATTGCATCATTATGTGCGATACAAGCAAGGGCCAATGTACGAGGATATACGAAATACCACGAACTGAAGATAGGACCTGGCTTTAATGATAACTTAGAAAACTTATGATAGCGGGGAATGTTGCAAGATCGACATCCCTAGTATACTACCTAGCCCTTCTCTTTCCTTCTTTTCCTT